ATTGGGAATTGGCAATGTTGAAACTAAAAGTTTGGTACAGTGTAATGTGGGGAACAAGAGTCCTGTTTTCCTCTGTGCTTTGTTACCTAACAAGACAGAGTCGTGCCATTTGGATTTAGAGTTCGAGGAGGCAGATGATGTGGTTTTTTCTGTTCTTGGTCCAAGAACTGTTTATCTGACTGGTTACTATGTGGGTAACAGTGGACGAGCAAATGTAAACAGTGATACAGAGTCGTTTGGGGAGGATATTGTAGATACAGAAACAGGGGAATCCTGCCACGGGACTGATGAGGACGAGTATGATGATAGCTTTATCAATGATGGTGAACCAGAAACATCCCCACCTTCACCTGCTTCAAGCAGCGGAGGTATCTTTTAACTCACATGTGAACATGCAAGATTGAAGCTATCAATTGTTCCTTAAATTTGAATGAGTTCTGCCCCTACCCTTTGGAACTGCTTATCTCCTTGGATGTGGGATATGATAGTCCAGTGGGATCTCTCCTTAAACAAACAAAAGAGGGATTGTAGGGAAGATTGCTAATCCACTCTCTTCCCCCAAGTGTAATATTTTGATACAAATGATCCTGCTGGTGTTGAGTTTCTCTTTTCAGTATTTTTTCCCTGATAATGTACACTAGATACCCGCATCTTCCCACTAGTACAGGTATCAGGTAATATGTCCACAAAGGGTTAGATAGATAGGAAAAAAACACCTAGCTTTTTTTCTGTCTGCTAGGATTCGGACCCTGGCCTCCTTCATCGGCTGCTGAGCCACACCCTTGGGGCTAGTCTCTTATCATTATTCATTCCGAATTTCTATTCTTCTAATAATTTTTTTGGTGTTTCCAGTTCAAGTAGACGATGAGAACTTGTCAGACAATAAGCTTCACAAACACAATAGCAACCATAAAAGGCTTAGGAAGAAGTACCAAGTAAGTGAGTCCGAAGATGAGGATATCTTGCAGGACGCAGATGAAGACAATTGTCTCTTATCTGCACTTAAGAAGAAAGCTGATGTGAAGGCTAAAACATCAGAAGATAATCAAAAGAATGACATACTAAGTGCTGAGGCTCCTCATAGGACAGAAAATGGTGGCACAGTGGAACATGAAAAGGCAAAGTAAGTCACACTTAAACAACTACTGATTTCTCCGACTGCAGTAACCTTTTTCAGCTTGAGGTGGTACATTTTAAGATTTATAAGAAAATAAAGGGATCGAGTATGATAGGAGCTTCTCCTCAAAAATCACTTTTTGTCTAATCTACATTTTCCAATGAACTCCACAATACCTGCTGAAAGTTTTCAATGTATAGTTGTTCCTTGATCCATACAAGGTACTCAATATCTACCAAAGGAAATTCTACATCGAATTTTTCATATTATCTTTAGCTTTGAGCCACATACCTTGGGAGTTGGGAGTTAGCTTGAAGAATTTTGTTTAATTGTTCTTTTCTTATATCCATTGTGGCATGTGGACTTGTTGCCAGTTCATGATTGTTTGCCAGAGTATGCTAAGTATTAAGATGACTAGCATCTGGCAGGTTCGTTCTCGAGTAATCTGGAAAAGGAAAAATGAATAGAAGCTATTCCTTAATCAGTGCATGTTATCCTCTCTGCTTTATGGGCATGCATACATGTAGAATGTTCTTTCCTTTATTCTGTGCATTCCAGGGAACGCTGTTTCATTGCTCGCCTCTAGCAAAGGTTCTAACTTTCTCCCTGCTTATTTTGCTCCTCTTAGTGAGCACAGACATGAAAATAGCATTAAATCGAGCAAGAAGAGGAAACAGCCTGAGGGCAATAGTCGTAAACTTCTTGAAGCAGATACTAGCAGTGATGGGAAGGACAACAAAGAGGATAACACAAAGCTGGTGGATGCTGGGACGGCAGTGATTAATACGTAAGATGTTGATTTATTTAATAATGTAAATGTTTGTTTCGTGCTGCACATCACTGATTTATCCACCACCTATGCACTGATCAAGTTATTTTTTCAGTAGGTTATTTATACACCTCATTACCCTTCTAATTTTTTTCAAGCTACGTACTCTGGCAGGAAAGATGGCAAATTTGATACTCTGGAGCCTCCAGCAGAGGAAGATTCTAAACATGGTCCAAAGTCAAAGAAAAGAAAACATTCTGTGGAAGCCAAATCTGTTGAAAGCCATGATACAAAAGCTGATATCACTCTTAAAGAGGGTAAACTGAAACAAGATCCTCTAAAAGCTGGTCAGCAGGATGAGGATCCAATTGCAATTGCATTAGATGAAGAAGATAAAAAACTGACAATCAATAAGTGAGTTTTTTAATAGTTAATTAGCAGTGTTGTTTTCTCCAAAACTCCGCTGAATCCTGATCCTGCCTACTGTCTGAGCCCTGAATAAGGCACCCTATTTTTTGTTGAGAGGAAATAGGTTGGAAAGACCTGAATCTTCTTTGAACTAGTAAATATTAGTATGTTACTCCCTCCGTTTCAATTTTGACGATGTAGTTTGACTTGGCACAAAGTTTAAGAAAAAACATACTCTGACATCATGCAGTTTCCTTTCTCCCTGATTCCCTATTCAATGTTGAATGCTAAAGCCTCCTAGAATTTGTTTTTAGGGTCTATTTTTGGTTATAATATTTGACCATTTCATGCACGCAGAAGCATTGATGGAAAATCTGACTCCGTAGCTGATGGGCACCAATTGGATAAGAAAATTAAAAAGAAGAAGAAAAAGAAGACGAAGGCTCAGGAGGACTGTATGGTTAACATTGATCTTCCGGTTCTGCAAGAGAATGAAATGAATAGACAATCCGTGGATGTTGAGGACAAGAGTCTGAAGGTCAAGTCTACTGTAATAAGGACTTTATCTAACGGGTTGACCATTGAAGAGCTTGCAACAGGTGAACCCGATGGAAAATTGGCTGCTCCAGGAAAGAAGGTAAATTACTTGAGAATTTATAGTTATTTCAAACTATTAATGTTACATTAAGCAGCCTTGCCTCAGAAAAACTACAATCTCAACATTGCCTGTTGCATGAACTGTTGCGCAGATCAAAGTTTATTACACTGGCAAGCTAAAGGAGAATGGACAGATTTTTTACTCAAATATT